AGGAGAACTTAAGTTCTTCTTAGGGATTGGGTTTGCAAGTTCCAAAAGAGGAATTCTTATGTGCCAAAGAAATATGCCCTAGAATTAATTTCTGAGTCAGGTTTGAGTGGTGCAAAACTAGCTGGAACACCACTAGAGCTGAATCAGAAGTTAACTTCAGTGGAGTAGATAATTGCTTCAAAAATGACAACACTTAGGTAGATGAAGTTCTTGACAATCCTGGTGCTTATCAAAGACTCATTGGAAGATCCTTGTATCTCACTATGACAAAATCTGATATTGCATTTGTAGTTGAGGTTCTTAGTCAGTATATGTATTGTCATAAAAGGTCTCACATGGAAGCAACACTAAGAGTTGTAAGGTACATAAAAGAGGCTCTTGGGACTAAGGCTGTTCTTGCCTGTAGAATCTTTAAATCAATTAAGTACCCTTGTGACTCAGATTGGGGGGCATGTATACAAACTAGGAGATCAGTCACAGGGTATTTTGGTAAAGTTTGAAAGTGCATTAATATCCTGGAAATCCAAGAAGCAAAGTATAGTATCTAGAAGCTCTACTGAAGCTGAGTTTAGGAGCATGGCATCATGTGCAACAGAAGTCACCTGGCTAGTAGGATTGTTCAGTGAACTTGGTGTCAAAGTTGAACTTCCTATAACTCTGCATGTTATTGTAAAGCAACAATCCAAATTGCAGCAAATTCAATCTTCCATGAGAGGACAAAATACATTGACATAGATTGGCACTTTGTGAGAGAGAAGCTGAGTCAAGGTCTACTAAAAACAGAGTATGTTAACACTGAAGATCAACTAGCAAATATACTTACCAAAGGTTTGGGAAAAGCTCAACATGAGCATCTGCTGAACAGGATGGGGTTGAAGAAATTGTATCAACCATCAGCTTGAGGGGGAGTGTTAATCAGCAGCTGAGGAATAAGCTAGTAGTTAACTATAGTTAACTTTAATGTAATATTAAACTAGAGTTAGAGAGTTAGTTAGTTGACAGTTAAGTAAGTCGGTTAGGTTGTTATAAGCAGTAGTCCACTTTGTACAGTTGCCTTCTTCAGAAATGCAAGCAGTTCCTATCTAATTTCCTCTTCTTCTAGATTGTTCTTCTTAGCTTTGATTTCATATCCATGACAGCTAACAATAAATAATATAATTATTATTATTATTATTATTATTATTATTTTTATGTGCTAAAAGATACAATTATACAAAATAGAATAGAGAAAGTAGTAGATACATTTGGGGTTCGTTTGACTTAATAGACAAATTATGCAAGGATTAACGATGCCTATATTGGCATTGAAGAGATTGTAGTACAAGAATTACCATTGCAGAAATTAGCAATACAAAGAGTGCATAATGCAGATATTATTTCTTGTTGAATATTTTGTTGATATATTACTTATTAGTATACGACGTATAATGTAAATATTTATTTATTTGTTACATAAAATAAAAACAATTCTTATTATTATGAGGGTTAGTTGCATTTTAGTTTAAAACTATGTATTAATACTCGCATTTTTGTTTCACATTCTGTTCCAGGTAACTTTTACCAATATCATTTATGAGTAGCCAAATGTAGTACTCCCTTTGGTTCACTTTAATTGATTTTTGAAAATTTTACTTCCTATAGCAAAGGTATACATCCTATTTATTATAACCAAAGTCATTTTAAAATATTATTTTCTATAGCTACCTTTTATATTTTATAGCAAAATAAATATTTATGGTATATACTACCATTGAGGCATGGAATAAGGCATGAAATACGCTATTTATGTTTTCCTTCTCTCTTAGACAGCCGGACATACCTATTTTTAAGGTGATTGCATTACTGTATTCAAGAATACATGGTGCGAATACATATAAATACATGGGCGTACGGACTGCCCTGGTTATAGGCGCTTTTCACTGCTGTATTCATGAATACAGCAACGCGAGTACATGTGAATACATGCGCGTACAACTGGACTACCCTGATTTTTAGGCGCTTTTTGTTGTTGTATTCATGAATATAGCAGCGTGAATACATCGAATACATTACCATAACAACTGAATAGTAGTTATAGGAAGTAATTATGTATATGATAGCTATAGGAAGTTAATAGCCACTAAACAATAGTGGTTTTAGAAAATTTAACCTTTTTTCTTGTGGTCCACAATATTTGATTTTTTCAGATTTTAAGAAGGAATTAACTTTTTTATTTTCAAAGCTGCCATTGAAGTAAAGAGCCTAGGAGTATTGTTATATTTTCAATGAACGAATTAAGGTTAATAAGGTCATTTTTATTGTTAATTAATGCTAAAAGATAAATTCCTTAATACATATAAAAATATACAAAAAAATCAATTAAAGTGGACCGGAGGAAGTATTAGTCGGTACTGATTTTCACAAGGAGATTAAGTGGGCATTTGGATATAAGAATTGTAAAATTCCAAAAAAGGGTGAAAAACTTTTTCAAGTGAAAATGGTATTTGAAGTTTAGAGTTGTGTTTGGACATGCATAGAATTTTAGGTTGTTTTTGAAGTTTTGTAAGTGATTTGAGTAAACATTTTGAAAAACAGTTTTTTGGAGTTTTCCAAATTTTCGAAAATTTCCAAAATGCATCTTCAAGTGAAAATTGAAAATTTTATGAACAAACGTTGATTTCGAAAAAAAAAGTGAAAATTTCTTAAAAAAGGGGATTTTTTTGTGTGTGTCCAAACGGGCTCTAAATCTCCTCGAAGTCAAATTAAATAGGGGCATTTGCATCTCTACCCGCTTTTTGTGCCACATCTTAACTTGTGTCTGCTTTGCAAAAAAAATTGCAAGCGTACCCGCTTTTTCACATAACTTCAGCACACGGGGCTGAAGTAGCAAAGGCAATCACGCAAAACTTCAGCATTCTAGTAGCCGGGCTTGAAGTTCAGCTCTTAAGCTGAAGTTTTTGTGTTGTAACTGGGAAACTTCAGCTCTTGAGCTGAAGTTTTTGTGTTGTAACTTGAACTGAAGTTTTTGTGTTGTAACTGAGAAACTTCAGCTCTAGAACTGAAGTTTTTGTGTTGTAAGCTAAAGTTTTTGTGTTGTAACTGGGAAACTTCAGCTCTAGAGCTGAAGTTTTTGTGTTGTAATTGGCTACTTTTTAACTCCCTCTCTGTAATGCACATAACACATGATACTCATCTTCACTGTTATGTTAGCTTTAAGCTTTATTAGTCTGCAACAGAACTAGACACTTAAGATATGGATTGTATCGCTAACAAAAGATTAACCAGAACTATAGTCAGTTACAACAACTGAATCAGGATGGTTATCTATTATAGTAGTAAGTTATTGCATAGCTAGCAAAACCAAAACACATGGACTGTTAACAACAGAAGCATATGGACAGCAGCAGAATGATCGAAAGCTCAAGAAATAAAGTGTGGTCACAGCTTCATTTAAAGCTAGTGGAATATAGTTAGCAGGTATTTAAATAACAAAATATACGGATAGCAGCAGCAATCATCAAAATTACAAGAAATATAGTATGGTCTCCGCTTCATACAAAGCTAGTGGAGTAAGTAACATGAGCAGACTGAAGTTTTCGATGCAAGACCAATAAAAAAAAATAGGCTCTGCATTTTGTCTTTTGTTGAGAAGAAGAAAACGAAGGAGGAGAAAGGGAGCTGAAGTTATTCAAGAAGTGGGTACAAGTTAAAAGTTTTTAAAAAAATGGGTATAAGTTAAATGAAGGCGACCAAATAGGGCGCCCCGTACAATTTTTACTATTAAATATTGTACAAGCTTGTGCTCGTTTTTATGCGGATATTACCACGGTACATCCATTGATTAAAAGGTAATGTTAGATACGTTGTTGAATCTTTATAAATACCAATTTACATGCAGAAATTTATTACTTGACGTTTTGCATCCTGTGATCTTTTTATTATTTCACTTTCTTCTACGGTCTCATATCAGCTCATTATAAAATTCTTTTTATGAGCTCATTCTAAATTCCTACAAAAGCGCTTGAGAGATTTAAGAATTTTGTAGAACTTTTTTTTAAGTGCACATTAGAAAATTCTCGAACGATTCGTTATCTCACGAATAAAATATCACATTACCATTTACACTTGATAGCGTGCCTTGAATCGATTTTTCCTATCCAAAAAAACTCTCTTATTTTAACTATTTTGTCTTGTTTGCTCATTATTTGTTCTTCTCAATGTTACCATCTCTAGTAACTTTCCAATAATACTTATACTCTTATAATTACACAAATCTAAACCTAAATAATAATTATTTCGTGGTGTCCAAATTAAAGAAAAAAGGCCACGCCATGGAGAATGTTACTCTTTCTATAGCCCGTTTGGCCAAGCTTTTTTCTTGGCTAAAAATACTTTTTTTGTCAAAAGTGTTTTTTCCTCAAAATTGAGGTGTTTGGCCAAACTTTTTGAAAGAAAAAAGTGATTTTGAGTAGAAGCAGAAACATTTTCTGAGAAACAGAAAAAAGTAGTTTTTTCCCATAAATATTTTTGAGAAAAATACACTTAAAAGTACTTTTTAAAAGTTTGACCAAAAATAGCAGATAAACCAAGCATTCATCTTAGATTCAATCCTATTCGAGAATCAAGCGTCGAAACATCTAGAAGGGTTGACTTATAGTTATTCAATTACAGATATAATTGCTATTCAAAAGTTATTTTTAAATTGATTAATCAAATATAAATTATTTTTTAAAAAAATATTTCTCAAAATAAATGGATTTTAGAAGATGGCCGAACATGCAATAAATAATACTTTCGGAAAAGGTCAAAGAACAATTGACGGTAACTCTGAAAATCACTGACAAGATTCTTAACGCGGAATCTCACTTTCCCAACTCCAAAACAGAAAGTGATTGAAGAGCACTTCCAAAAAAGTTAAAAAATAAAGAAAAAAACCGATTGACACATATATACATACATACATATACATATACATATACATATACTATAGTCATAGATACGTAACTGTCACATACATAATTAACATATCTTCATACCCTCGATGGACTTCAGTCACATACTCTCTTTTCTTTCACGTTCGCTCTAGGGTTCCCCAATTTCTCTCTCTTTATTTTAGCTTTCTTACTGTAATTCGTTTTGGTCCAGCTTCAATTCAATGCAATCAAGCTGAATAATACTTCAATTTTCTATAATCTTTGCTCTCTATATACTGGCACTTATTATTTAGGTTTGGGAGGTGAAAAAAGTAAAGAGGAAAGAGGGTGGAGGGCGATTACAAATGCCGGAGGAGGACTTGTTAGAAGTTAAATTTCGGTTGTTCGATGGATCAGACGTGGGTCCGTTTCGCTGCTCACCGGCTTCCACGATAGCTATGCTTAAAGAGAGAATTGTCGCCGAATGGCCCAAAGGTCAGTACATAAAAATTACTTGTTTCATGCTTGGAGGGATAGCTTAGTATGATCGAAACGCTTTTCCTAGAATTTTCTAATTGTTGCTGGAAGCTGGAAAACAGGGTCCAAATAGAAACGCTATAATACTCATAAATCTAATGATACCAGCACCGTAACAATCAGTATTCCAAATAACTGTTGGAAAGTGTTTTTTTTTTTTTGGTTTGCATTTAATTGTTGCTGGTGGTGATTTTGATTCCTTTTTTGCAATTAAACCATTGATTTTGTGTGACATTTTAATTGATAAGGCTAATGTGCAAATGGCCTAAAGTTCACATCGATTAGCTGCAATGTTGCTCTTGAATCTGTTTCCTTTTTTTTTTTTTGGTTTCACATTATGATGCATGCTTAATTCATCTAGGTTCGTCTTTCTGTCTTTGTAGTTTGTCCGAGAACATGAAGAGTGCCCCAATAGTATTGTAGCTTCATCTTCAGGAAAGGGAAAAAAAGGAAGTTGAAGAGAGAATATTCTTCTCTTGTTTGGAGTCCCAATAGAAAATTCTTGTATTTACTTGGTCACAGATCTTCTCAATTTCTCTTCCGTTGCGAATTCTCCACTAACAAATATGAGATTATCACAGAGGAAGTCTCTCCTATCCCTCTATTTCTTTCATGTATTCCAGTCCTCCACTGGCAGAGTAATCTGAATTAACCATGTGAACACAAGACATGCTAAGGAGTCAATGCATATGTTGATATGCTACTGTACTATAAACGAATTGGATTGGTTCAACTAATGGGTCGAGATGCTAAACCAATATGGGAAATGAGTCACATGCTTTATAATAGTTGTTGAGAAAGCTGCTGATTAACCTTGTATATCATCTTGATTAGAAGAAAAATAAATCATCTTGCTAGTATAATTTTGCATCCTTCATTTAATCAACAAATGTTCAATTTTGTGAAATTTTACGAATTACATGCTAACATTCTTTTTATGGAGGTCTTAATTATTTTTACACATGGTATATTAAGTAAGTCAAGGTTTAAATATTCTACTTCTAATGATGCTCCTTCACATCCCTGCCCACACTTATACCACATTGGCAACTACTTTTTGAAAGGAAAAGAATAACATACTAGTGACTGCATTATTGGTATTTTCTCTACTAGTTGTATTTTGTGGAGAAAGTAGAAACGGATGTCAACTCATTGACTTTTCTCAGCCAAAATATCATAGTAAAACATATTCACCTGAATTTAGGTTGATTATGTTCTTTTTTTGATGAAGTAATTTAGGTTGAGTATGTCTGATGTAAGATTTAGGACCCTGATTTGGTCAATCGATTGTCCTGTTTTTGCCTTTAATGTGAATAGAAGATTCTCTAAACTCGTGACTTCCGAATCAAGTTATTTGCTTAAGTTTCATTTGTTCTGGGCTCATAGTTGTCAAATTGGGATATTAGAATGTGTCGGTGGTATGAATCAAGCCTTCTATTTTATAAAAGGAAAAAAAATGCAACATTTGAGCTCATTACCCAAAGATAGAGAACCCAAGTCAGCCAATAATGAAACCGATGAATGTACTTAAAGAATGGTTTTTTAGAATGATTTTGAGACTAGTAATGCAAGATGGGGTTGAATGCTGCACGTCTAAAACCCAACATATTGCAAAGATGAATGTCGTAGAAATGCAAATATTAAGATGCATGCACGGATATACAAGATTTTGGAAGATTAAAGATCATTACATATGAGGCCAAATATATCAATATTGACAATAAGATGAAGGTAGGTTATACAGGATTGGACAAGATTAGAAATTATTACATTTGAGGCCTACCATATCCCAAGATGAATGTCATGCAGATATTAAGATGAACGTGTGGCGATACAAGATTAGACAAAATTAGTGATGACCTTGTCTAACAGAAGGTGCAAGTAGCATATAGAGTAAAATGAGAGAAGGTCATGAGATGGTTTGGCCTAGAGTTGTTAATTGTTCGGTTGAGGAACACTCAAGCCCTGAAGCTAGGTGAAGCCTAGGTTTTGCACTTCGCCTCACTTAGGTGACGCTTTAATGTAGGCACCAATGGGCTAATCTTGCGTGTTATCACCTATGAGCTCCGTCTTTGAGAGGGTAACACTAGATGATAAATATAAATATATAATTGTCAAAGTGAACATTAATTGTTAACAAAATGTCATACAAGGAATCTTTTAGTGATAACAAAACTTTTAGGTTCATATTGAAAAACTAGTCGGTCAACATTTAAAACTGCGTCTACATCTAAATTGAAAATCTATAACGTTTTCTGAATTTAATTGACAGGATTTTTAGTTAGGAAAGGAACTAAAAGGATTTAAAATCACTTGGAGGAAGCTGTCTCAAAAGATTAAAATTTCTTGGAATCAATATGGATTTAGTTATGAAAGGAACATGATGGAAGCAAGAATATATAGGAGATACTAGGTAATTGGGATTAAAGTTCAGTTGTTACTATATTAAGCCCGGTGTTCCTCAAAAGTTTCTTATTCTGGTAAGAGATTTGTATCCATGTAGAGATAGGTGTTCGATTTAGAGAACGTCTTAAAGAATTATTTGTTATTGTAATAAATTGGACCTAAATAGAGATGGATGAAGAGGATTTATATAGCCGACCCTAACTAACTTGAGATTGAAGCATAGCTGGTTGATATTAAAAAAATTTTAGAAAGGAGTTTAAGTTCAGTATTTAAGTCTACCAAAATGGGACCAAAATCCAAGTCTTTTGGAAACCCAACCCTCACTGGACGGCAGAATGATCATCTCAGTATAAGAATTTTGGTTGAGATGAATTGGTTATAACCTGCAATTTGGCTATCCCTATTTCGCTTTATGTCATGCAAGAAAGTATATTGATGTCAAAATCTTTTATAACCTACAATGTTTGGCAAATTTCATTCTATTAGCTTACTATTATCTAAAAAGGTTGGGACTGGCATAAGGTCCTTTTTAAGATACACACACACACACACACAGAGAGAGAGAGGTTCTTGTTACCTTTGTCTATCTGAGCTCTGTTTTGCTGAGATATAGTTGTCATGCTTTCCTGGCAGATAAAAGAATTGCACCCAAGGCAGCAAATGATGTAAAGTTGATAAGTGCTGGGAAAATTTTGGAAAACAACAAGACTGTTGGTCAATGTAAAACGCCTTTCGGCGAGCTACCTAATGGTGTGATTACCATGCATGCTGTTGTACAGCCATCTGTAGGTAAATCAAAATCAGGTAGGTTCCCCTTACTAGATTTGCAGACAATATGTACTGGTTTTCCCCTTTGTATGATGTGTTTGGTTTTTAGGATATTGGTGATTCTGTTAGCTAACTTAACTAAATATTTGTGTTCAGAAAAATAGAGGAAAAAAAAAAAAATTCTTCTGTCTCCTTTTCAATATCTTGAATGTTTAGCAATATAGTAAGTTCTACATACCATATTTTAAACATATTGCTGTTTAATGGTTCTCGCCTAATTACTTTATAAGAAAATGTCTATGGTACTTGCCAAAATTGATGATTGCTATGGCTCTTGCCGTGGAGTAAGATTTTCAAATATGTAGTTTTGGTTGCGGTCTTTCATATGGAGTACTGAATTTTTTTGCGTTTGGAACAGAGAATATGAAGTTAGAACCTCATTGTAACTATCATAGATACAATACTTAATTAATTTTTCGAATGACGGAGACTCAATCACTGATCTTTTACGTTTAAGCTTGCATGGTATTTCTTCATTTTAAAAGAGGTCAAATGCGTTTGCTACAAATTGAACTGTATATTCGATAGCTGCTTGACCTGAGGATCTAGTTGAAAACCTTAATCTAGCTTATGTCATACAGTATAGGGTTTCATATGCCTCCAACTTCAAGTGATTCATAATCCACATATGCAAGAGTTGCTCCATACCGACTTACCAAGCGGTCCAAGCCTACCTTAAATTAAAAGCAACTAGGGAAATTTCCTACAAAATATTAATTATAGTTGCGTATCCTGACATAGTTGGAATTACTATTAGCTTACATTTAAGAGCATGCTTAATCAAGTCTAATTTCACCTAATTCAATAAATGCTACATGTAGAAAAAAACATTATTTCTTCAGTTCTAATTTACATGATGGTGTTTGACTGTGTACAGAGTTTAAGAAAGACTTATGAAACTTGTGGTCCAAAAATGTTATAGATATTTGTGTGGCTATAAATCATCTCATTACGGGTAAAATGAGAAGCTTAAAGTAAAATTATTTTTATATATAGAAGGTGTCATTCTTTTTGGGACAGACTAAAAAGAAAATACCGTCACATAAATTGGGACTGAATGAGTATCATTCTTGGATATACCATGTTTCATCTCTTAAATATACCATGCTTGTAAGTGATATTGTGATTATGTTGATCAAGAGAGTATAAATTGTGGTGATGCTTGTATAGAACAAGAACAAACAAAATTAGAATTGATATTCACCAAAAAAGGTTTAAAAAATGAGATGGTCCAGGAAACTTGCCAAAACACCACTAGACACTATATTGGGGAGACTCAGGAGATTAGGTCTTCTATGTAAAGCATCTTTTACTTTATTAATTATTTTTACTGAGACATTCCATGTTATTATCATATTCATGAGCCTACAAGACTAGAAATATTTTTATATAGATTTAGATGACTCTTTTTTGCTATTGGGTTTAGTCAATAATTTGTTTGCTTAATCTTATTTCTTTTTACCACCATCAGGTGGGCAATGGTAGCTTCGGATGTTAACTTGGTGGGTGGGGTATTACAGAGAGTAAAGTTAAAAGTATATTAAAGGAATCAACATAAGTGTATACTATGCTGGAGCTAACTACGAAGAAGGAAACACATCGATAAATGACCTTCATTAATGTATGTTTGTGGTATATCTTTATGTTTCTCGTTCTTCTTGCGTCCAAAGAAGCAAGTCCTGTTGGCTGTTGTGGTTGGCCTGATTGCTGAATTTTCTGAAGATCTAAATGTGCTAACAGATTGGCCTTTCCTGTTGAAGTGTGGTTGCTTATATATACATGTTAAGGTGCTTAACTGAATCCTATCCCAGTGGATTTTTGTTTTTGAAAATTACGCTCGAGTTAGCTCTTTCATTAATACCTCTGGTTATGTTTGGCGGATGTCTATTTTTGTCTAATGCTGAAGTTGTGGTATTCAGGAAATACTTGTCTCTCGTATATGTTAAGCTTCAATAGCTGTACTTAAAATTAGATTCGCACTTTCTGATCGTGACATGAACCCACTTTGTTCTAATGCTGAGTTGAGGATTAGATACACAGGACCGGGCCTCACCTTGCCACACCCTTGACCCCTAGCCATGCATTTTTTCTTGTAAAGTTTATTTATTCGCAGATATGTGTAAGTCCAATCCTGTGCCTGTTTTCATATAGTTGATGATTATTTTCAGTCAGCATTGTGGTGTTAATAATTCATGGTGTACCCTTTCTTTTTTAGCTGCTGAAACTTTTCTTTATATAACAGAAAAGAAGATTGACGAGATTCCAAAGAAAAGCATCTGTGCGTGTGCCATATTGTGAGATTGTAAGTGATTCAGTTTAATTTTGTGATATTTTTGGGTTTACACCGCTGCTGTGATGTTCAGTTAAGAAAGTCAATAACTGAAACAGTGTGATAGCTCATTATTACTTGTTTGTTGAACGGCATTTCAGTGTAACTGCGTCTATTTGTTTTCATGAATTTGGTAGGTGTAAATTTTTGTAATTGCAGATTTTTATATACAAATACAGAGCACGGGCTGGATTGCATGCAGAAGGATTCTAGCCAGCTCTTGTTATTCTACTCTGAATCATTGTTATTTGACGGTAGATCGTTTAAAGGCTGCGGTTTAAACACTTTTGAACTTATTCTGCCTCCTAAGACTAGGATAGTTTGTAGTGTACTTCTACGTTAGTTTGTTTTTAACTGCTTCAAATCATTCATCGTAAAAAGCAGTTTAACATGCTCCACTTGTCCAGACACAAATGCTAAAAAAAATAGAGTTAATACCTTAAAACTCGCCTAAGCTATACAATTTTTGTCAGTTGGCTACCTAAATTATCACACGTCCCTGAAAACCCATGAACTATATTCCCTACACGCTCTAGTACAATACACGCTCCAAATTATTTTTAAAATATGCCATGTGGCAATCTACGTGGATATTTGTTTAGCTTAATCTCAGAAGCAGACTTAATTAAGTTTTTATTAATTCATTGTAAATATTCTAACATTCAACATTAAAGCACTAGGCATTCCATCCTTTAAATTCCTTAGTTGATTCCATATTTTTCCCCACAGATCGCTAGGATTTTTAAATAAATTCAACTTCTTGAAGGTTTACTAAAAAAAGAAAAAGTAGAAAGAACCTGCTTTTGCACTTTGGACCTTGCAGTGTCAGGAGTTATTTATTTATGTTGCATTTGCCAATATTTGTGTTCTAAGTACTAAGTGTCACACCTTCTTTTTTACGCACCATTCCGAAGAAGGATAGTGTATAAGGAAGTTTTTCCACTTTAAGTGACATTATTCGAAATAGGTTTATTTATTTATCGGAGTCGCAACTTGGGATAATTTATTTGGTGTCCCAAGTCACCGGTTTATTTTGAATCCCAAATTGAGAAAATTTTCGACTTTCCAAGTGAAGTCTGCGAACCAGAAATTCTTGATTAAGGAATTCTGTTAACCCGGGGAATGTATTAGGCACCCCCGGATTTCGTGGTTCTAGCACGGTCGCTTAAACTATCATAATTGGCCTATTACCTGATTTTAACACATGTTTCAACCTATAGTGTAATTTTAAATTATTTACCGCTTTTATTTAATTTTAAGGAGAATTGCAACGTTATTAAAATACGTCTCGAACCACGTCACATAAATGCACCCATGGTTTTTGACATATTTTAACACCGTTGGGATTTGGATTTAGGTCACATAAATGTGCACCCGAATTTAGGAAAGTAGATTATTAAAATACGCGCCTAAAGCAACTAACGGGTTGATAACTTTGCGGGAGGCCATGAAAATTCGCTAAATGGCGCGTCCCGATTTCTAAGTATTTTAATGGAAGTAATTAAAGAGGGCCACGAAATTTGTGATTTCGTTTGGCGCGGCGCACCTCAATTTCATTTTTAAAGGATACTAGACTAAGGTTGAAGGGTCATGAACTATTATGTTATTTAACTAATTGGCTAAGGTTATAAGGACTAGATATGAGCTATGAATTTAAAAGGGATTTTTTCCTAACTAAACCATATATGAAACCTTATTACCAAATATGTGCATAGTATGTATATTACCCGCCCAGTCCACAGTTTTCCTACAATTTATATACCATTCGTTTATTATGGCTGAATCTTCCATTATTAGCGCGCGAAAAATCAGGAAGAGAATCTGGGATTGATTTATTCTACATTAAATTCAAAATTTGAAACGGAAACGAGATCTCGAAGCTGAGTAATTTTGAAACGGAAAGGAGATTTCTGTTCTTCATCTTCATCTATTCTTCCATATATTTTCCACCATTGATAGCCATTAAAAAGCTTGAAAGCTTTGAATTCAAATTTGGGTTTTCAAAAATCATTATTTGTTTGGATTGGGTGTTGTTGAAAATAATCGGGAATATGGTTTGGAGTTTATATCTCAATTTTGAGGGGTTTTGGTGACGATTAGACTTGGTTTTGACTTAATTTCAGATTGAAACTCGAAGAAGAAGAAGAAGACATAGTTCCAGAAATTGTAGATAAATTGTAGATAAATCATAGATAAATTGTAGATTATTTATCTTCGGATTGTAGATGCTTTATTTTCTATTTTCAAAAATAAAAAACAACTAAAACTTCTACAAATCTTCTGAAAAAACGCAATTATGTCAAAAATCACAATTATGCTACAATTGGATGGGAATTGGGATATAAAAATTTAATGTACCCAGTTTGTAGATATTTTGTAGATAAATTGTAGATTATTTGTATTCTAATTGTAGGTGCTTTGTTTTCTGTTTTCACAAATCCAAAACGACTAAAACTTCTACAAAATCTTCTGCAAAAAACAATCTACAATTTATCTACAATTCTTCTACCAGCTAGATTTTGGCTACAATTTATCTACAACATTTTTTTTTCATGTGATTACCAGCTAGATTTTGGCTACCCATCTACGGAGAATTAAAAAAAACTTGGTCCAGATATAATTTATGCAATCGATGTAATACCTGCTTGGCTTGAAGAAGGATTATCTATACGACGCCACGATATACGTGCAACATGCTTCCTGCCCATACTAAAATACAACAATGGACGAACATCGATTAAGAAAGTGTAAACAAATCCACAAAAAATCAGTGATTTTTAAAATCCACTTCTATAAAAATAGAATTATGAAAATGTACTAATATAGGAAATTTTTTGCCTAGAAAATGTTGTTAATAAACTATAGAAACGAAATCTAAAAAATTCCTCCGTGAAAGGAATGGTTGCTTGTGCAACTGCTGATGCCGTTTTCATGGTTGGAGAAAGGCAAAGCTAAGGTGTTTTAAAAAGAAAAAAGAAGGGAACGTCGGCGTGAATATTAAGTCTTTAAACCAAAAAAAAGGGCCCATTTTTGGTACCTTGAATTAAGGATGGATATATGCTGCATTAATTATATCCCTGATTTGAATTATGGTATATAAATGATAATTTGGTATGCTGAAATGTAATTAACTCAAACCTTAAACATTGAGGGTAATAAGGTTTCATATGTGGTATAGGAAGGTAAAAATTCCAATTTAAAATCTAGTAACTAAATACAAAGACTAAGGTGACACAACTGGGCGTGAAAGAGAGGCCCAATATTTAATGTTTGAATCTCTGAAGCTGCCTGCGTACAAAACGCCTCAGCTGTAAAGCTGATTAATGTTTTGGGCCTCTAAACAGACCTATTTCGATCACCTGGGCAGCCTATTTTAATTAACAAATATAACAATCAATTTGAATTTGTTTATTCTCTTTCAATTTATAGCCCAAAAGCCAGGTGAGTTAAGAACCAAGTTGGGCCATGCATAAATAAAATCAGGGCCCAAATTTTATTCAAATAAAAGGCTGTCATGTTTTGGCTCACAAATGAGCCCAAATCAGGCACTGAATTTAAATTGGATTGCAGAAACACTGAATTTGAATCATAATGAAACCTAATAATTTTGCGGAACGCATGAACAATTCAACTCCATTCACATGCTGATTTTAAGTCTAATTTCATGCTCATATTCAAATTGTATGTATCCTGATAAACCACACATACTCATTCTAAAGTTTTTACTTCCAGAACAACATTTACACTTATACAGCACATTTGCAGAACTTAAAACATTTATTGAACTGAAAATAGACATAATTCCAATTTTAACATCCAAGTCCGTTTAACTAGGCATTTGCAGGTAACACTTTGCTTATATAACACACTAGATTCCAATTTTATCATCCAAACTAACATGATAGCAGGTCTGAAAAATGAAATTAAACTATACTAAAGCTAATACTACTAAATGAGTCCAACAGTCCAAATATTACATTCATTAGAGGGTCCGGATCAAGTAATTCCTGGATTCTAATGAAAGCTAAATGTAACACTTGAATTAACATGTTATGAGTGAATTACAGATAACATAAACGTGCTAGGCCACCTAAATCTGTGATGACCCAAAGGTTCATCACCAGTTTTCTCACTCATTCTGTGTCTTCGAGGCCTTGAAAACCTCATTTAGGCTTGCCTCGATTTGCGTGCGCAGTCCGGGCGCGTAGCCGGAAAGCTTAAATATAAATTCTATGTAAAAATTGATGAATTTTGATATTAATATGAATAAAGTTGACTTTGGTCAACATTTTGAGTAAACGGATCCGGACCCGTGATTGGACGGTCCCGGAGGGTCCGTAGAAAAATATGAGACTCGGGCATATGCCCGGAGTCGAATTCCGAGGTCCGTATAGAAATTAATATAGAAATTTGAAAAGGAAATTGATTAGAACGTGTTGGTATCGGGCCCGTATTTTGGTTCCGGCGCCCGGTACATGTCTTATATGTGGTTTAAGCGCTTTCTGTGAAATTTGGTTGAAATCGGACATCATTTGACGTGTTTCGGACCTAAATATCTAAAAATAAAAGTTTATGAAGTTTCATGAAAAAGTGATAATTTTGAGGTTTGATTCCTCGTTTTTTATGTTATTTTGGCGATTTGATCGCACGCTGAAGTTCGTAGGATGTTGTCGAGTTAGTGTGTGTGTTTGGTTGGGAGCCCTGAGGGCTCGGGAGTGTTTCGGAGGTGTTCCGAGAAGTTTTAGAACTTAGAAAAAAGTTGCAGAAATTCTGCAATAGGTGCCCAGGCATTTCCTTCTTCGCGTTCGCGTCCTCTCTCCCGCGTTCACGATGCCTTAGATTCTCCTCCTTCGCGTTCGCGTAACTGTACTCGCGTTCGCGTAAGTCTACGGTCCCCCTTCAGCGCGTTCGCGTAAGGCCTCACGCGTTCGCTTAGGCCAAACTTTGGACCCCAGAATTTTTCCTCTTCGCGTTCGCACTTCTCCACTCGCGAACGCGATGGTTGTCAATTTCTGCCCTTCGCGAACACGACCCTACTGTCGCGAACGCGTAGGGTAATTTCACCCAGCGATTTTTAAGTCATAAAAACAGAACAGTGTCGGGTTTTATTCAAAAAAATACACGAACCCTTTCTTCTCAGATTGGTTATAACGAGGAGATCCCAGCTCCAACAGCTCCGGTTGGCCCAACTCAGGTCCCAGAGGGGTTCATAGCCACCCCAGTTCTTCAGGACGCTTTGGTTAGATTGGTAGGCTTTGTGGAGAGCGTCATTCGAGCGGGTTTG